AGTAGGTTAACCTTTAGCGACAGTACCATTTACCTTGGGTTGGTAATAGAGAGGAAGTTAAACTGGAACCTAAACACGAAAGAAAGAGTTAAGAAGGACACAATGGCAATACACCTGCAAAAAAGCCATTGGACTAAAATGGGGCATGAACCCACGTATAGTTTAATAGATATATACCAAACTGTAGCCAAACCAATACTGCTCTTCGGAGTCACAGTATGGTAGCCGGCTCTGTCAAAAAATACAATTACCGCTCAACTGGTAAAAGTCTAACGAACGGCCACCCTTTGCATCAGTGGAGCTCTCAGCACCACACCAAATAATGCACTAAATGCCATCATATACTTTTCTGGACGTTGATATGCATTGACTGCACCATCAAGTGGCCCATGCGACACCAAGCCAAAGCCTGTTACGCGCGGAACCCAACAGAACGCAGCCCTCCTCCCGCCCAACCGACCGAGGGGCGCTGCCGCATGACGCGCGGCGCGATTAACCGAACCGGTCTCGAGCATGCAGGAAAGATAGATGTTAGGCTAATATTCGAGGAAAATTAGAACACAACACAACTAAACTAGAGCAGGTATAGCTAAGCAAGCAAAACTATCAAAGTCAGAAACAAGACAAAACTAAAATGAAACTAACTTCGGGAGAGGTGGGCTAGTATAAGAGATTTAAGAAGGCGAAGGGAGTTAGTTGAGGATATAATGTGGCAGAGGGAATTAAATCCGAGCATAAAACCCTAAAGGGTAAGGCATAATTCAGGGAACAAGGGAATAAAGTTTCTAGTGGGTCTAATGGGAATGGTAAAGTTTATGCGGCTCAGCAAGTCAGGGCTGTCTACATCCCCCTTGATCAAGTTGTGCATAAAAATTAAACCAAGCAAGAGTCTACTACGGTAGGATGGCAGTCTCACAGTTGCATCCCAGTTGAGGCCCCGTAGGGCAAATAATAAAAAGTTTTTCTGTACTGATTCAATACGGTCCTGATGTATGTTGTACTGGGGGCACCATACACATGAGTCGTATTCTAAAATCGGACGAACAAGCGAGATATAGAGAGTCTTCGTTATATACGGGTCATCAAATTCCTTTGACCACCTCTTTATAGACCCAAGCACACCCATGGCTTTATTTACCATGGTAGAAATGTGTACAGAAAACTTTAACTTGGGGTCTAGTTTAACACCAAGATCATCAACTAATGTAATGCTCTCAAGAGAACTACCTCAGAGGGTGTGAGGAGCCACTAAGCGGCTGGAGCGATGAAAAGTCATTACTTTGCACTTCGAGGCATTAAGGAGTAACATATTTGCACCACACCATGACTGAAAACAACTCTATTGAGATCAGATTGCAAGCGAGAGTGAAATGAAATGTCCTTATACTGGACACAGAGCTTAACATCATCCGCTTTCATAAGTACTCGAGAATTTGTCAATACAGAGGGCAGGTCATTAATAAAGAGTGTGAAAAGTAAATGGCCTAAATGGCTACCCTGTGGTACTCCAGAAGTAATCATAAGGAGTTTTTGAAGAGGATTCTTTGAGACCTAGAACAGAGGTAGCTAGAAATTCATCTCAACAGATTGGGCGGAAGATATAAGTGATTTGCAGAGATGTTGCAAGTGCGGAGTTAAAATGTTCTCGAACATCTTAGGAATAGAGGATAACTTGGATACACCTCTATAGTTTTTAGCTTCACACTTGCTACCTTTCTTATGGAGAGGACTTTCCCCCTTTCTTCCAGATGGGGGAAAGCTAGAAGAATGGATGGATAGAGTGAATAGTTTAAGCAAAGGTCCGCACAGAGTCTCGGCACAGTACCTGAGTACACAGCCGGGAACTCCGTCAGGGCCCGGTGAAAATACCGCCTTAACTAATTGAAGTTCATGAAGTAAGGAGCTTTCATTAAACAAAGGGCAGAAAATGCCATTCAGCCTTGGTAAACTATATGGATACATTTGATTTGGGTAACTTTCCTGGGAATAGGTGGTTTGAAAAAATTGTGCCGACAAATTCAAAAATGATAGCGAAGATGGATGTGCGGACGTTCTACGCTTACTGTGTACAAAGCTGTAAAACTGTTTAGGGTCCTGTGAAAAACGTATCCTGCATCGAAGTAGGTAGTTCCTATAGCATTGGGCATTAAGAACACTGAAATTTTACCGAGCTATTAAGTAATTAGAAAGAGGGAGAACCAATTTCTTGTGATTTTTTAAATAGTCACGATTTTAGGTTCTTTAGACTCGATAACTCTTTGGTGAACCAAGGAGACTTCGCAGGTCTAGTCGGACATGAGAGTGGGACACACATGTCAAAAACAGTTTCAAGTACATTGTAAAAGATGTTTGTGCCTTCAATGACGTCAGTGCACGATCACAGAGGGGAACAATCAAAATCCCTAATTAAGCTATTGAGCTTTGTAAACTCGGCTTTACGAAAGCAACGGACGCGTTCAGAGCCTACCAGCCAATCCGATACAGTAGGTCCAATATCTACCTTCACTTCAAAAGTATGATGATAGCAGTATTCAGGTATAGTGAGCGGAAACAGTGCTCGTGTTAACAACGCTACGGTCGGATCCGAGATGAAGCACAGATCAAGCAATCGACATAGTTTTTTTATACCCGGTACTCGAAGAGAAAAATTGGGTATTTTGTATTTGTGCACAAAGTATGTAACACACAGAAGGAAACGTTTCCAACCCCATAAAGTATATATATTCTTGATCAGCATCAATAGCCGAGTCGATTGAGCCGTGTCTGTCTGTCCGTCCGTCTGTCCGTACTGATGAGCGCCTAGTACTCAGAGACTATACGAGCTAGAGCCACCAAATGTTGCATCCATACTTCTGTATGCTTACACTGTTACAAGTGTATTTCAAAAATGAGCCACGCCCCCTTCCCCTCCTGAAAAAGGGCGAAAACCTCCCAAACCTACAATTTTGAATATAAAAGAAAAGTAAAAACGCCATTCCGTGGGGAATGACCATATCTTCTCGTTTACACGTTTGACTTGAGACAGGGACAGGTCTAATAAGCCATCAATAAAATCATGTGACATGGGCACAAGGTTATTAGACTCGTTTACCGAAGACCAAAGAGTACCTGGCATGTTGAAATCCCCCAGAACTATTAAATCGTCTTTATCAGATAGCGAGGAAGAAACAGTTTTAAAGCGGACAAGTGCTGCTCGTATATTAAGACATCCAAAGTCGGTGGAATATACGACACAGAGGAATTCAAGGTCTTGTGATACCTCGACTATAAAATGCTCCGACGTGAAGTAAGAGTCCACTGCAATCGGAACCCCTCTTCCACGACGAGACGAACGATCATTAGTATAAATTGTATACCGATCTGCCAAAACTTCGGAACTAAGAATTTACATCCATCCAAGGATCACTCCAGATTTCCTTAAAATAAACATTTGGTGGCTCTAGCTTTTATGGTCTCTGAGTACTATGCGCTCATCAGGACGGACAGACGGACAGACAGACATGGCTCAATTCTGAAGAACTTGAGATGCAAATGTACATATGTACGTCATGTCAAAAATAACATGGACAGTTTTTCATGCTTCAGCAATTAAGAGTAATTGCTAGAGCCACCAAATTTTGCATCCAGACTTTTCTATGCTCACACTGTTTCAGTCAAAAATGTTTCAAAAATGTTTCCAGCAAACTAGTTTTGAATTTGGCTCATGTAAGGGGTCTGTGATCTGTTACCAGTTTGAATTGACCGAAAATGTATGGTCTGAAGTGTTTGGTTGCCCAACCAATTGCTAACATTTGTTAGCGCCACATGCGTGGCACCCAACGAACCTTTGGAAAAACCTTCGCCATCTCAAGTTCTTGTAAAAAATGCAGAATCATGAAAATTTAATATTTCTACTGATTTTGCAGAAACACAGTCCGATTAAATTATTATTGTTGCCAGACTGAATGAAAAATTTGAGGTGGCTGCCTCCTCTAGCACGCTTTTGCTCTCTTCCTCGTGCAGTTCAGCCCCTGAAGTGCAGGAATTCATTGTATAAGTTTCTCAATTCATAGCGCTAATTTGTACATAAGTACATACATATGTAGATATGTATGTTTATACAAACGAAGTAAGGGGTATCATGGTACCGGTATTCACGTCACTGTCGGCTTTTATTATGTTAATGCGTGTTTTTATACCCGGTTCTCGAAGAGTAAATAGGGTATATTGTATTTGTTTAAATAACGGTTGTATGTAACGCACAGAAGGAAGCGATTCCGACCCCTAAAGTATATATATTCTTGATCAGCATCAATAGCCGAGTCGATGGAGCCATGTCTGTCTGTCCGTCCGTCCGTCTTGTTTGTCGGCTAGTTCTCAGAGACTATAAAATCTATAGCCACCAAATTTTGGCTCCGGACTGCTGTATGCTCACACTGAAACCAGTGTATTTAAAAAATTATCCCCGCCCCCTTCCCTGCCGCAAAAGGCGAAATCCTACAGTTTTGAAGATAAAAGAAAACTAAAAAGGCCATTCCGTAGGGAATGACCATATCTATCAGATCACCAAATTGGGATCCGATTGGATCATTATTACAGCCACAATGAAGAAATTAATTTCCAGTGGCTAAACCCACCCCGTCCCGCAGCTTATATTTGTTTTTTTTTTTACATTCTCTCATTCACTCTGCTTCTGCATTGTGCGGCCTCTGCCTCTGCCGTCCCTCTGCCTTTGTCGCGGCTTATCCCACCCCGTCCCGCAGAGGCCTCTGCCTCTGCTGTGAGTCTGCAGTGCGTGGGTCTAGGGAAGGGGGGAGAGCTAACGGAGCGTGTTGGCGTGAGAAGTGTTGTAGATTTACATAGATGACAGATGAAGAACAAATTTAAAATTAGACAAATAACCGCTAAGGTACAGATGTGGTACTGAGGGCCGTCTCTTCTCGTTTTATTTGTCGGAAGGTCGACTATTACCTTTTTCCGCAATAGTGAATGGTTAAACATTTTATTTTTGCTCATTGCAGCCCCAAATGTGCGCAGGGCGCATCTGCGCTGTCATGACTCGTCCTATACCGGGCTACAACCATACATTTATGCTCTGTTCGCTGGTCAACAACAACTTCATGCCGTTGAACAACGTGGCGTTGTACCTGGATAGCGAGAAGAACCACCTCGTGCCGGTGCCGCGAGAGGCGTTGCTGGAGCCGCCACGTCTTGCAGATGGCCATCCGATGTCAGCTGTTTTTGCGGACATTGACTTCCGTGGTGGCCACGCTGTGGGTCAGGTAGTGGAGCCAGCGCTATACCTCTGTCTCTACCTGTGTCTAAAACTCGTGTTGTCAATACTTGTCAAGCTGCGTGGGCTCGACTTGCAAAGTCACTGCAGCAGATACGTCCAGCAATTATCAGTCTGCCTCCTCTGGTGTATGCTTGTGTTTGTCCACCTTTATAACCCATAGTACTGCGGGGATTCGGTTCACCTTCCCCAATACGGAAGCCCCAGTTTTGGTGACACCATCAATGAAGACGAGGAGTTGTCGCTGCACGAGGACCAATTACAGTCTAACGTACTGCAGCTAAATGTCAACGGGCATCGCCTTGAACTGGACCCTTCAGTCCTTTTTACCATTGCAGAACAGCCAGATTCTTGCATTGAGCTAACTGTCGATGAGACTG